GCTTTATTTATCAATGAGCCGAGGTTAAGGAAAAAGACGAGTAGTTTCAAATTAGGGCACTGGTTACATAATTTCTATAATCACTGCATTCTGACTTAAGGAGGAGTACATCAGTATTAACAAGTGGACTTGTTTAATATTCATATACATTGTTTCATAAGTCCAATAACAAGCCATTTTAATTACATTAATTTCAAATATGCAAGAATGCTACGTGATAAAAAAAACGAATGATAAAAAATATGCCAAACAATATACCTATATTATTTAAACTATATTGCTATTATTGAAGCAATACATTAGCAACGTCAGGTCGGTCGTCAGCGATAAAATCTGTCCACCGAGCTCTTGCATTGATTTTGCCGCCAAGCACTTTCATCAGGTCTATCGATAGAACTGAATCCGAAAAAAAAATACATTGCTCTTTCTATTCTACTGTTGTTTATCTAATATGCTCTTAAAAGGCTTCAATCCTATATTGTATGTCTACTTAATTAGATTGATGATAGGAGATTTTCATTAATAATAACCTGTAAATTTACCTCAATATCTCAAAAAATTATCCAATACTTATATAGTGTTTCGTAATTAATATCACTTTCAGTGCGGCAATGACAGATGAGACAGTTGACTTATTAGGGCTACGTACGGCTTTATCGTAGTACATTTATTAGGCTTGTAAATCATGAGGATAATAAATAGTACGTAGTTTCATTAATATATTTGACAAAAAACTGGCCATGTGCGAGTCAGACTTGCGCATATAGGGTTTCGTAACATTGTCTATAAAAAACGGCAAAGAAATCATGTCAGTTGTATGGCATATATGGATGTTTTTTATCTTTATTTTTAGAAAGGGGTTTTGTCGTACAGTGACTATGACACCCCCATTTAATAATCCCAACAGTATTAACTTAACCTACTAGTACGTAACATTAATACAAAAATTGTTCATGTCCCAGCCCGCACTATCCCCTCAAAAAAGAGATCGGTGCACCCTGCAACATTCACGCTACCCGTAAATACAATTTAATTAGCATTCTTGCCTCTTCGGACAGCGGAGACGCTAGAATGCCATCACAGATAACCTACATTATGATTATACAGAAATTTCATATCCTGTTGTAATTCCTCGTTCCGAACCCACTCCGTTAACACATGGTGTACGTCTTCTACCACATCACACTCCGAGCAATTAGGTGAATCTGTAATTCTCATCAAATATTTAAACTTGTTTGTGGGATATGTCCGGAACGAAGTCTTAGCAGTGATATTACATCTCTTGTATTAAAGTTTTGTTGATTAAACCATGGGTATCAATAAGGTTGACACTGAATTGTTTTGTACCATATGCCTTTTGTTAGAGATCTTTCGTTAAAATACTCGTCCCACAATTGCCTACAATTAGCTTTAGCTTTACTTAATATTTCACAGTGTAGTGGTAAAAAATTTAACATAATACCGTCGCTAATTGCCTGTTTCGCCGCTCGATCAGCCTTCTCGTTGCCCATTAAACTCACATGTGAGGGTAGCCATTGCATAATCACCTCCTTATTTAATGTACGAAGCTTACAAATGGAATCAAGGATGCTGTAGGCTGTCGGATATCCTCGATTATTCGAGGGAAACCGAGCCAAGTGTATCAAGGCACTTTGAGAATCAGACAAAATAATAATTTTATTATTTATTTATTTATTTAAGAGGTTCACCAACGTACGTTCACATATCACATTGAACATTAAAAAGATGAAACATCAAAACATAGTAAATTAAATATGTGACGAACAATTACATGCGAACACGACAAACACCAAAAACAGAAAAATATTAAATCCGATTAAAATAAACTTATTGTGTAGTAACAATAAACCAAAAAATAAAATTAAAATGACAAAAAGAATATCAATGAAGAAAAATAGAGAGTAAGAATTATAACTAAGAACAAAAAAAATATTATCTAAAGAGACTGCATATGACAATACTTCTGATATCGCGATTAGTTCACAGTTATAGACACATCGGCACATACTATGTTCAATTTTATGCTAATTTCTGTTTGCGGTACGAAAAAAGCTGCCTCACGTCCAACTTCATCCATTGATCCATCTTATAACGCGTATAAAATGTAGGGAATTTATTATACAGGTAATTATGGCTTATATTGTGTAATTATATTGTGCTAACCCGCCTCTTTACAAATTTTATGCCATCAATCGTAAATTTAAAGTTATTGGACACATCATAACTACTAATCCATTTATCGAGAGAGCAAGTTTGTAAAATCGGATTGGATTGTACAATACTTCCTGTGAGTTTCAATTAGTAATGGCAACTTTTTTATTCTCCAGTATTCACCATGGCATAAAGTACGAAGATCTTTTATAACCTGTATGGTGATATTGTTGTCAATCAATCTCGACCTAAGGTAAAATTTGGCTGCTAGATATTTCCTGCAAATGTACAAAGGTTGAGTATTTAAAAAAAAACATGGACTTAAAAAAAAATTATTCTATTTTTTAGTAATTTTTATTATAATACACATCATCTGTGAAAATTTCAACTGTCTAAATATCACGGTTCATGAGATACAGCCTGGTGACAGACGGACAAACAGCGGAACAGCGGATTCTTAGTAATAGGGTCCCATTTTACTCTTTGGGTATGGAACCATAAAAAAATACACCATATTTAAAAGAAACACGTATCGAACGGGGCATACTTAAAACATTCCAATTCCAAACTGATGCTGTATCATGCTCTATCAAAGAATAACTTGATACTTAAAATATTATTATTTGTGCAGGAAAAACTGTGAAGTGTGGTTAAGAAATATTTACAGCTTAAATAGTTATTATCATGTCACAAATTTTAATTGAAATAATACAGAAATATTATTAATGGGCTATATTATTCCTATATTAATGTTATTAATTATGTTAATATATTATAAAGAACTTATCTTTCTATATTTATTATATTAGGAAGTAATAGCTAAGATAGGATGCTTATTTAAAATTCCTTATATTTGATATAATTGTTTATCAGTTACTACGAGTAGGTAGAGACAGGTCTTCATAAAGGTTATACTACTTTTAAGTGATTACCATCAGCAATTCCCGAGGGGTTGAGAATGCATTCCCAACATTTGAAATAGCGTTTGTCACGGCCCCACCACAGATTACTAACCTTTTACAGTATACGGTACATTGCTTCAAATTCTAAAAACAATGTAGATAAAACACGTTAAAATTTTTGTCGGTGTAGCAATCAACCGTTTAGCTTAGTGGCTAAAGCGTCTGGCCGCGAATACCGAAGACGTTGGTTCGATTCCCACAGCGGCGACAATCTTTTCGTACTTTTTATACAAATTGTAGAGAAAAGTCCGAAAAGATTGTCGCAAGTGCAGAGATTAACACAAAAAAATTAAATTACTGTGATCGGTATTTAAAATTGTAAATAATTGTGTAGGAATTAAGACATTATTTTTCTCAATTGAAATTAACTTTCAATTAAGCATTTGGATAATAAATAGCAGTGACATCAGTGGCGGGCTAACCGGGGGGCGGAAGGGGCGGCCCACCCCGGGCTTCAGATCCTGTTTTCCCCCAACAACAAACAAGGTCTTAAAAATGCTTGGTACCAAGACGTGATTTGATTTCGAGAGGTCCCATACAAATATGATCCCATGCAAATAAAATACGAATAAGTAAATATAACCTGAACTGGTTATTTACAAATTATAAACAATGTTTCTACGAGTACTGATGCCTTAATACATTGCTAAAGGCCCTTTGGCTGAGGAGTTAGGAAGATATCTTAGCATAGATATAGGTATTGGTAGGTAGTAATAAAATGTGTAGGTAATCAATTAATAATAATTTTTAACAAAAAAACCGACTTCAAACCTAAAAGACATTGTTAATATGACATTTAAGGATTTCCCTCGATTTCTTTCGAAAGAAATATGTGGAAAATTGCTGTCTGTCTTGTTTACCCTAAAATTCGAAATATTCTTGTTAGGAAACAAATCACTATTTTTCTAAGAAGCATTACTTTTAAACAATACGTTTTACTTATCGAAGATTACGACAACGGATCTATAACTTTAGTGACACCGGAAGACTAATGAGCCGCAGGTGCACTAAGTGAAGATATTAATTACTTTTATGTCAAATCTGTTCCACCTAAGGCAATAGAACATCAACTTAATCAAGTCCAATTGTTAACGTTATAGATTTTGTATTTATATTATTCTATATTCTGAACGTACGTAATTCGTGGAGCATTTCGTAATTACCAATGGTATCAAATAATATGCAAAATAACAAAATTATTTCAAAACATACGTCTTATATTTTATAAGAAGTATATTTTTTGGAGAATTACTTTGGCACGTACAAATTAATACTTATAACATTTACAGTACCTGAAACAAAAAATATTTGCACTTTTAACTTGTTTAAAACATACACATTTTGACTGTGGGCGAATCTCACTGAAGGTCGTCCTGAAAATATTCTTTATGTCCATATTGAGTGAGGTAAGCGGGATCCACTCCCAAGAATAAGCAACGCAACGTAAGTCTACGAGTGTTGCTTGATGTCCATGGACGGCGATAATAAGTCATCCAGTTTGTTGCCACTTTTACTCCTTGATACCCCTTTGTACTATTATCTTTTTTTAAAAGCCCACTACTACCATTATCTCATTCAGAATAGTTCATTATCAAACAAATACTGGGTAAGAACAAACTTGTCTAGTACAAGTATGACCGCAGTGCAATTATAATTTAATAATCTCTTTTGACTCTTAACCACAAGCGGAGAAGAGGGCTAATTTGCGTTAAATTTTAACAAATCTTAATAGTTTTAACCTTGGATACCTTCGCTTTTAAATTTAAAATTTAAAATATGAATGCTCAATGATGCCAGATTATGAACATAAATTAAAATTTTCTAACGTAGACTTGTCCTACGGTTTGGTCAGTCAACCTTTTGCAGATGTGCTGGAAATCGATGGATGCAGGTGCCTCAGGATTCTGCTTCATGGCAGTCTATGTGGGAGTCCGATGTTCAGCAGTGGACTCGAACATGCTGATATGTTGATGATGAGTCTAATCCAACTGCTGATGTCAGACCTCTGAGACTGTCAGGCTATTATTGCTACACGTTCGTATCACTACCAGCCTACGACAGTATACTCTTGGTCATGATCTTTGCCAGGATACGTCACATATCTCTTCAGGTATGTTGCTTTCAGCTGTTTACTACATGTTTATCTAGACAGTAGTAGACTGTTTATCTAGATGGGGTCTCCACCTAAGAACACGACGACGGTCGTTCTTTGAGAAACGCGACCAGTCCATTGCCACTTCAAACGACATATTCGAAATGCTATTTGCAATACATAGCTTAAATAAAATATCCGATGTTAAATAATCACAAACTGTTCCAATTAGAAAAAGTAAAACACAAGAAGTATAGAAAAGAGTTTTCGTGTCGCAATCAAAAAGCGCATCCGAAAGTAGCGTGGCTCATTTCTCGGAATTTATTATCTGCAGTTCCTGAACTGAGCACTTTTCTTGGCATTAATGGAATTAATGTTTAACTTTCAATTTTATTATTAGTATTTCGCAAAATTTTCTCACTTTCTCTCGTGCCTCTTTGTTCACATCACAAATTACTTTGAAGCAAACTAAATCTTAAGAGGTTTTAATAGAAAATTAGTAAAAGAATATAAAGTTTGGCACGTACATATTATATAGAGCCGTGATAGCTCAGGCGCTCGTGTTTAATTCAGTATACTCGAGCAACCTGAGTTCGATCCCCGGTGCGGGCACCAATGAAATAGTTAATTTTAAGTGCCGAATTATCACGTGCTTTGCGGTGAAGGAAAACATCTTGAGGAGACCTGCATATTTTCGAAATAATAACAAAAAATGAAGATATGTGAAGTCAGCCAATCCGCAGTGGGGCCGCGTGGTGGACTATGCCCCGATACCCTCTGTACAGAGGAGGCCTTTGCTCAGCAGTGGGACATTTATAGGCTGATACTTAACTTTTTTTTTACGTACATATTTAAAGTATGCCAATATTTGTTAGATTTAATGTTAGCTATACTTTGTTTTATCGAGCTAAGAAGGTAGAAATATATAAATACTTTTACTAAATCACCATAGTTTCATTTTGCACAACTATAACACTGGTATAATTACTTATTTTATCACTTTAATATCACTAATGAAACACCACTCTAACGATTTAAATTGTGATACCGATTGGGCAGCACCATCTTCTTGGAGACAGCCAGAGAAAGACGACGAAGACGATGAAGACGACGATGATGAAATGTTTCGTGCAGCTGCATTTATACCTCATAGAATGATACTTCTTTTAGTGTTGCCAACGACCTTAAGGAACGACTTCTTTTAATGTTGCCAACACGGCCCTCCTGCACTGTGCATGTCCCAGGCACAATGCAAAACCAGTCGCCGGGAAAAAACGTGACAAAATCAGCTGAAAACAACATCTTGTTTTTAAACATTTGTGTTATAAAGTACTGCTCGGCCATTCCTTTCCTTAAATCCTTCCCAGAAATCCCACTACATCGGATTCTATACGATGTTTTTAGTCTTATAAATCTTTAAGATATCGAAAGGAAACTGTTCATAAATCGTCTGTAATACAAACTACTCTAGCCATAAACTGCCCCGAAAAAATAAAAAGCTTAATTAAATAGATTGTACTGGATAACCCTAAACATGGTCTTTAGGCTTAGACGACGTTTAACGAGATTTATGACTCCCTTAATCCGGAGTAGCGCCTGTTCCAGTTCACACCTTTAGTCTTAGGTAGAGACTGCTTCAGCTCACTACTCCTATTCTGGTGAGTAATACTGTCATCTCTAGGTTATCCACTACGTGATGAGCACATCACTCCCTTAATCCGGGGTAGCGCCTGTTCCAGTTCACACTTTTAGTCTTAGGTAGACTGCTTCAGCTCACTACTCCGATTATGGCGAGTAATACTGTCACCCATGGGTTATCCACTAGCTGCTCTTATGATGTTATTAAGACAAAAGTTAACATGGGCTTATAAAATTAACTAAAATGTTACCTTACCAACACGCTTCAATTATAAACTATAACCTAGATAACATCCCAGTTATCAATCTTAATGCACAATTTCATGTATTTCCATTTGATCGCTACTCATATCAAACCTTAGCAGACCCTTTAAGCTTATTCAAAGTCTGGTAATGTATCGTACTATGATTCCACGAAAACTTTAATGCATAAGATTCTATTATGTCAATCTATTTTTTTCATTATTATACTTTACACTCGTAGGGTGCGAATACTAATTACACACAAAAGTTAAATCCCCCTTCTGATGTTAGCTATACTTTGTTTTATCGAGCTAAGAAGGTAGAAATATATAAATACTTTTACTAAATCACCATAGTTTCACTTTGCACAACTATAACACTGGTATAATTACTTATTTTATCACTTTAATATCACTAATGAAACACCACTCTAACGATTTAAATTGTGATACCGATCGGGCTGCACTATCGCGTATACTTCTTGTTGTCAACCAGAGAAAGACGACGAAGACGACGAAGACGACGAAGACGACGAAGACGAAGAAGACGAAGAAGACGAAGAAGACGACGAAGACGACGAAGACGACGAAGACGACGAAGACGACGAAGAAGACGACGAAGACGACGAAGACGACGAAGACGACGAAGACGACGAAGACGACGAAGACGACGAAGACGACGAAGACGACGAAGACGACGAAGACGACGAAGACGACGAAGACGACGAAGACGACGAAGACGACGAAGACGACGAAGACGAAGAAGACGAAGAAGACGACGAAGACGAAGACGACGAAGACGACGAAGACGACGACGATGAAATGTTTCGTGCAGCTGCATTTATACCTCATAGAATGACACTTCTTTTAGTGTTGCCAACGACCTTAAGGAACGACTTCTTTTAATGTTGCCTACATTAAATAGAAGTAAATGCAAAGGAGATTATTAAAGAAAAGAAGGTTATTTGAGACTTATCCTAAGATAATTTATTTTTTTTTTGTTTCATTTTATCTTTTAACCAATTATCCTCACGAATTACTGTTAAACGTTACTTGTTAAGTGCGAGTTACATCAGACACCTTGGAAGCTTTGACATAGCATTCGGTTTATGAGCTTTGTCACCATGATCAAATTAACTACTTTTCCCGCCATTATTCTGACCATACATAAAAGCGAAAATCCTTTGTAATCGGAGTTTATATCAAAAGTTTTCAATTTCAGGTTAAAGAATGTAGCGTTTACTTTGAAAACAAGATTCAACCTTACACTGATGACAACCGACTTAAGACAAATGGCACTTCTCTGCTAAGATGACAACGTCTATTACTCTTGTTACACTAATAGCATACAAATACCCGTAGAAAAATTTAACAGCTTTAATGTATATTTCAAGGATTAAATTTTTACTTGTTGCATAGGATAGGAGTGTGTTCTTTTATTTGTAAAATATTATTAACGTTATTATTCAAAACGGCAAAAGATTCTGCCTAAACATTTATTTGCTACCGTATCACAAGAGGTTATGAAATTACTACATTATAAAGCTTATTATAGTTACTTGATTATAGAACCGTATAATACTATATATATTACATATTTTATTATGAAATAATTTGTAAAAAAAATTGTTCCAAGGAGTTCGTTTTGCCAGTTTTTCTCTAAGTTGCTTTTCTTATCAAAACCATGTAGTATTTTGACAATTAGTAAGTAAGGGTAATGCTTCCATATTGAATAAAGATATTTGAATATAATCGCTGACTAAAGTGGCCCCGGCTACCTCACTCACCAGACAAAACGCAGAAATTTAACACTTCCACTTCACGCCAGTCTTTAGTGAGGTGGTACTTACTCGGGCTAACCTGTCCATTCGTGCAACAGTGAAGACTGTTGCGTGACCCTACAACAGTAACATTATTTAACTTAATGTAAACGTCATGGCTTTTAAACTTTACATAATAAATAATAAAATAAGCGTCTGGTCTATAGGATCTTAGGAAAGACCATAATAATAAATTCGCATTAGGTATGTTTAGATAACATAAAGAGTTATATGAAGTAGCTTATATTTACGTTTTAAATTAATAACACGGTCTTCTTCGTACCGCCAATAGTTATATGAAAAGGGAACATAGATCTCATGTCGTGATCACAAAGCGCGTCCGGAAATAGCGCGTAGCTTTCAGAGAATTAATTAAGTTCAGTTCTTTGCATCGCGCAGTTTCTTCTCTGGTAGATAATGAAATTATTAACATACTTTGAAAATTATTATTAGAGTTTCCCTGTTTCCTCGTGTTTCATGAATGTTACAATTTCTTTTTCTTGATAAGTTTATAAAATGGGAAGATCACGTCTAATTTTGTTCATACAAAACTATGAAATAGTACTAAGCTGATTTTAATAAAATCGATAGCCCTGCGTTCAGCTGTGGACAACGGTCAACAAAAGGTCGATGCTGATGACTTTAATGAACTATTTTTAAGCTCAAAACGGTTATTTTTTATATCCTATATAATATTGATAGGTACTTCAAACCCTAAAAATCTATTCAACTTTGTTCAATAAGTTTATTTAACGACCATTTTACAGCGTGGCTGGATTGGTCTACATTCTAAACATTAGACGGAAAGCTTTAAAAACTATTTTATTTATTTAAAATTCTTGGGATTATTTGTTCCTCTTAGAAACTTCCACTTTATACTGGCGTTGTATGCAAACGAATGTCTTTGTACTTAATGCGATAAGAAACGGTTATTTCCTTTTTAATCGATAAGATAGCCTGTTCAGTTTCTTTACGGCTTTTTATTGCTGCGTTTCCATTAGTTTCCGCAAAAGTCGGGCTATTGAGATCTTATCAGTTCCTTTATAATATAGATGTTGAAGCTTTGTATACAGGGTGCCTTTTCTAAAGGTGCCCAAATTCACACAGGAGGTTCAGACTCGGTAGTATAATCCTTTATTGAAATAAAAACAATCCTTTTTTTTTTTCAAAAAAATTGATATTCTTTTCCACTATTGTTTATTTATATTGCACTATGTTTCCCGTATTCAGTCTTTTGTGTTTTTCTTGAAGTATTAAAGTACATTTTATTCTATATTTTTATTTTGTTTAACGACTTTACTATACTGCTTATTGTTGTCGATTAGTCTGAAATAATTATAATTTTTTTTTCTGCCCTGAGTTTAAATGAAAATATACATGTCACATGACAATAGTTGTTATTTTGTTGGACAAATTCAGGGACGATTTGTAAAAACACCTCTGATCCATAGTTTATACGCAGAGTATTTCATATATAAAAAAAATAACTATGTCTCACTCATTAGCGACAATAATTAAATTAAAAAGAGTTCAAAAAAATACTTTACATATTCTCCATACCTAGTAAAAGATGACTCACACTCCAAGCATATATATATAGAAGTAAAGACATGAGTATGGTACTTGGGAATTTAACACGCAGGCCCTATAAATCTATGTAATTATATATTATGTAGGTATGACAAACAAAAATACACTCTTATTTTTTAGCAGACAAAAGACAAGAAATTTAATTTTTATTGTGCTAATCTCTGAACTTTAGATGACACTTTTAGGGTCTGGGCGCGAATCCGGAAGATGTGGGTGGTTGGATTCCCACAGTGTCGAAAAACTTTCCGTCCATTTTTCTACATATTTAAAAAAAAACAATAAATAAAATAACATAACATAAATAATACAAAACATGGATGTAATCGCAACAAATATCATTGAAAGAAAAATATCAATGGCCCTTATATGGTACTTGTACATCCGGAATGAAAGAATTATTGAAAAGTACTCAAGTCGATTCATGCTATCGAGAAAGGTTATGACAAAGAATAAGTACTTATCGATATTTCATATTTTCATACTAGTTGGTACTGGACATAGATATTGTGAATTGAATTGAAACCTGAACGTTGAAAGTATAATCGTCATCATCATCACCATCATTTCAGCCTATAAGCGTCCACTTCTGAACTTGGGCCTCCTCTAGGCATTCCTACTTGTGAAATCCGGTGGCTTTGGTCAGGTCGTCAGTCCACCTCGCCGGACTACGTGTGCCGAAGCAATTTATTAAAACTTTATTTCACAATGAACTTATCATCCTGATACGTCGGAATCGATTATGTTGTATTTTTGTTTTTAGGTTTCACTCAATGTATTTAAATAGTTATTCTGTGGAAAACTCATACTATCGGTTTAAGCTATGCATGCTAGGCAATCGTTGTAAGTTTTATCAAGATTAACGGCACTTTTCAAGAGCCTTGTTTAGAGGACTAGAAATTACTGTTAGTCTGGCATATACACATATATTACCTTCATTAAACTTTTCTTTAGATAATCAATATGCGTAGTAAGAATGTAGTTAATTTAGATAATATTACATTATTAACCTCAATGTAATATTAATCAGAATATATTAGTTTGTATGTTATACAGGACCGGTACGGACCACTAAATAAGATTTTTGCCGAATATTTTGCAGAAAAAAAAAATGTACGTGTATGTTTTTTAATTGTTTGTATGTGAACTTAATCAACATAAGAAAACAGAAAATACAGTAATTATTTAAAATGAAAATACAAGCAAAATGTACGCGTCTATTATATTGAAAACTTCAAAGACGTTATTCTAAAGTGTTACTTTACAGTAACGTCTATATACGTTCCCACTGTTGGGCAGAGGGCTCCCCTGTTCAGAATGTTTTAGGGCATAGTCCACCTCGCGACCACACTGCGGATTGTCAGATTTTATACAAGTTCGAATTTTTTTTGTTGTTATTTCAAAAATATGGAGGTTTCCTCTCAATGTTTTCTTTAAACACTGAACATGTGATAAGTCAGTCACTTAAAATTACTAATTTCATTGGCGCCGGCACCGGGATTTGTACTCTGGGTGCTCGAGTATAATTGAATTATTAACGACCGCCCGGACACTCTGTTATCATGACTCCAAAGGCGTTGTATAATAAATTTACATTTACATCACTACATAATATACAACAAAGTCGTCCCGCTGTCTGTCTGTCCCTATGTATGCTTAGATCTTTAAAACTACGCAACGGATCTTAAGGTGTTTTTTTTACTATATAGAGTGACTCAAGAAGAAGGTTTATATGCATAATACATTGCACCCGTGCGAATCCAGGTAGGGTCACAATGATTAATAAAATAAAAATATAATCATGTAGTAAACAATTAGTCGTGTAGGTTTTAAAATGTTTACACGATCAATGTTAAAAACATAAGCTTGTCTTAGTAGGTTATTGCGATGTTGCCGATAGTTCTTGACGTTTCAAAATATTTTTGCCGTAAGCGAAAACAAACAAGATGCAACTGTTAAAATGTTACTGCAATACTCAATACCTTGGTTTAAATTAAATAATTGAAAGCGTTAAACACTGGCTACTTACTTTTAACTTACATTTTCTCTCTAAACTTTATACGAAAAGAAAAAGCTATAAAAACCCTAAATCATACTTAACTGTTATTAATTATAGGTCGCCAAAAGTTTTTATACTTTTAAGCAGAGCTTCCGCTTCACTAATCCGAGCCTTTCATGTTTTCACTCCTACATGTGTTTAACCACATTTATATAAAATTTAAGAGCAATGGCATCATCTCATTTTACAAAAGTTTGTCATTTAATGTACTTTGTAAGGTGTTGAATGTTATAAAGAATGCACACTAGTTGGCACAAAGCATTGCTAAAAATGCAATAGAAATGACATAGAAGATGTCGAGATTTTCATGATTTTCGCCGTGAGATCATCGGCCGCTTGCTTAGTTGGTTAAACGTCTGGGCGTGAAAGTATCTATTCGTTCCCATTCCGATGTATAAACGAATGTTATTTTCAATACAAATCACGACATCCTTCCT